TTAACTTAATCACTTAACAATGCATTTAAAACGAAAGTTTATAATAATTAATTGAGTGGTTGCAGTGATAATTGTAAATTAATTGCAGCAAAAACGTTCTGGATCCTCCTTCTCTGCCAAAAAAGGGTCGAACACGTTATTTCCGAATCGAATAAATGTCACACAATTTGCACCTGTCCAAAATCCGGAAAGATCTAAACCTTTCTCGAAAATGCAAAAAAAAAAAATCAAGACAGTTTTTGCATCCCTTTGATGATATAATATCATGTATTCCGGGGAAAGAGCCAGCCAGCTCTGGAAATATGGTCTTTTTGGAAATATGGTTGGCGTGCAACAATAACAAGTGTGTCAAACGACGCGGAACACACTTTTCGTGCGCAGCTTTTACGTGCTGGTGCTGGAAAATATTCAAATTTATCAGTTGGCAGATATCCACAAGTGGAATCAATAGTGGCTGTCTGAGCCCGCGCTATTAAATCACCGCCACCATCAGACGACCAAACTCTTCAAGGCGGGAAATTCTCTACCAATGATAATTTATTTATTAAAATTGTAATAATCCATGACACATTTCATCTCAACAAAATTACAATCTTTTTTAACAAAAAACTTTCAGCAAAAATCTAATTGTTAAATTGATTATAAATGCGAGTCCTTTTGAACTAAAGTAACTTAAATTTATACTCAATTTGGGAATTTAAAAAATTAAGTGAAATATTATTGATTGTATGAAAATTTAATAGAAAATTTTGCAGCCCTGTGTGTTTTGAGCCTTGAAAATTTGAGCTCCCGCCGGGGGGAGAGCGAGGCGCGAGCAGCCCAACAGGTAGAAATACTTCAAAATTTGCAAAATTCAGACTAGGTGGGCGGCAAAACGAGCTCTCGGAGGCGAAACGCGAGCCCGTCGGTTCAAAAGAGGCGCAAACAAAGCGTTTTACCTTTTTGCAGGAACTGTTTGTGAGGAGGAGCGAGGCGGCGGTGCAGAGCGCTGTGCCGCACTTGTAGTACTACGCGGCGGGTCGCCGGAGCAGCTTGAGCTGGGGGTTGGAAATGCTGCTTCTCCTACCCCCGTATGACGTCACGCCCGAGTGACGTACCGTATCAATAATTCAATAACGCTCCTCGGCAAGCCCTTTTGCTCATTTACCAGGCGAACGAATTTCCGCAACACTACCTCCCTTAAAGAGATACCTGCTCCTCCGAGAATTATTATTTCTAACGCGCCCTTTGACCTTTCGCTCGTGTACGTTCGGCCGACAACTAACTCGATTTGTCCACAAACCGGCTGCAAACTAGCTCGCTTGATTCAATTTCGCACGCACGCGACGCGCCTAATTTGCCCTCTCGTCTCTGATCAAGCTCAAAAAGACACGCTCTACCTTTTGACTTTCTTTGTCACACCTGCGGCTTAAATAGACCCTAAATTTGCATGCAAAATTAGCATCCTTTGTGCAATTACGGCGCTAATAAACAAAAAATTGTAATACCTGGACCCTCTGCGTAATTTACTGCCCTTTGATAATTATTATTTATTATTTCTTCAAATTAATGCTCAGCAGCTACGTTTTTAAATATTTTTGGTCAATAATAGTTTTAAAATAAAATTATTTCTTCTCTTTATTCAGAAATTTTAAGCTTAAAGAACAACGTTGAAATCAACCGAAAACTGACTTTAATGACTGGAGCGAAGAAGAAATCCATTATTGTGGGGGGGGGGGAGGGGGGGAATAAAAAACATTTAAAAAAATCAAACTAAATAGTTTTTTTTTTAACAAAAAGAGATAGTATTATGGAAAATGGTATTAAACTAAGTAACTAAATTTACAAATAAAATAGGTTTTTACGCAATTATGTGTTATTAATTTTCATTCATTTATATCAATTTTTTGGGAATTTTTTATTTTTCCCGGTAAAATGAGTTAATTTCAATACATAAAAAGCTTTTGAAAGATCTAACCGATTAGAGGGGAGGTGAATTTTTCTTTTTGCAAAAGAAAAAGCCATAATGCTATCTTGCTTACAAAAATTTAAAAGTCAAAATGAATTAAAAAAAAAAATAACAGTTATCAGTTTGGTTACAAACAATATAAAGAAATGAAAAAAGCTGCAGGTGTTCATTTAATCACCCCTGGTGCAATGCTGGTGAGGGGAGTCTGAAATTATGGTGGCGCTCGAGAAAGATCGCTCTTTTTTATCATTTTTTTCCTGACAGACTGCGAGCAAAAGGAAAATTAGCGCCGTCCAGAAATAAAACTGGGAGGCGAAAATCCTCGGTGGCTGCTGCACCCGGAAAATTTCCAAATTGAAACATCAGAAGAGCTCGCAGGAAAGGCCGACGTGTGAAAATGCTGGGGAGGGTTGGGGGGACGTGTTGCTCATCTGCAGCAATATCCATCTGCGCGGCGTGGGAAAGAAAAGAGCCGACTCAGCTGCGGCTGAAACTTCTCATTTATTTTGCACGCGGCAAAATATTCAGCACCTCGCTTGCAAAATGTTTGCACTCACGCGAGTGCGGCAAATGAAAACAGAGCGAAAATGCGCACCTCGGCGTGAGCGAGAGACGAAATTTCATACCCAGGGAAAAGCAAATAGCGCCTGCGATAATGCTCCATTTTCAGTTAGTATGAAGTGGGCATGATAATTCCATATTCACAAGAAATCACTCTATCAATTAATTTTAGTAACACTTTGTTAGTTAGTTTAATTTGTTTCAATGTAACAAACTCCTTTCTTATTATTTTATTTTCTTTGGTGATTTAAAATCAGATTTTTTTAGGACCAGACTTTTTTGTATTTTAAAATTAAATTTCAGAAATTAAAATTAACAGGAAAAACTGATAGTTTTTATCGTTAGTAATGTAAACAAAAATGTTGATAAATTTACATACAAATAGTTATAATATCATTGTTTGCGTAACATTTTTGGAAAATAGATATTGTTCTATTATAAAAATTTATAAATTTTTAATTTGCAAAAATAAATTGATGGTAAAGTTATATATTAATTCTATTTTTATTTCTAACAATGTCTATAAAATAAACAATTTGAATTCATAAATAAATTAAAAAGGTCTTAAAACTTTTTTCAGAAAATTTAACTCATAGATTTGCACTCAAATCAAACGTTTTTTTTAATTGCGGAAAATTTGCAAATTTTGACAAGATTAATGACTTTTAAGAGATTTTAAAAGGCTTATAAAATTAATTACATCAATATCCATTAAAATCTTTCACTTCTCATTTCTCTACAAAACTTAATCATTTTCAATCCGTTAGGAAGAAGCAATTAATAAATTGTTTGCTTTTATAAAACGAAGGTTTCATATTCCCTTAAAGCCGGTGTGCTATATTAAGAAGCAACTAATAAAGTGAGAGAATGCAAATAGCAAGTTAAAAAGTTCATCATCTCCTGCTCAACCCGTGAGCCGAGCTAAAATAATCCCTCTTTGGACTGCTCTTCAAAAGAAATAAATTAACCCTCGACCTCGGGTCCAGTTTCTCTCTGAAGAGCAAAAATTTGTTTAGGCTTCTTCTTTTTGTGCACCCGAGTTGACACCCCTTTGTCCCGCTAATCCCTCTCGAGGCGACGAGGCCTGAGAAATGAGAAGCAGCTCTAATTATTTTCCACCCGCCTCTCTCGCAAGACCACTCTTCTCTGCTTTCTGGCCGCAAAAGACTGCTGCATTTTCTTTCTTTCACCCAACGGCCGGGTACACACATTTCGTGTTTGCATGCAAATGAGGCCCCGCCGGCGGAATAACGAATATTCTGGATCACACACACACACACACGCGCACGGAGATGTCATCTTTTCCGGCGCAAAATGGAGCGCGTCGTGTTTTGCCTTCTTTCTTTGTCAGTGTAAAATCGAACAGGTTTTGCGGCGGCGCCCGAGGCTCTTTTATTGTCTCTCAAGAGACCCTTCCTTCCTTCCTTGCCTGCTTTTGCAGTAGTTTCGTGTCTCCTCCAAAACAACACTCTCTCTCTCGGCTGCTTGGCTGCCTGCCCAGCACCTCCCGGCCGTTCCTTTTTGGTAGGCAAGCTCTCCATTTGGAGAGGCCCCGGCGAAAAGAGCTATGCAACCGGCGCGACGTACTTGACACGCGGCTTGCATAAAACAACTCGCAACTTCAGTACCCAAAATTTCATCGTTTTGTTATCTTCAGGTCGACCGAACCAAATAGAACCTTTTCCAAATTGTAATGATTTTTTAACGTTACTAATAAAAATTGAAACAAATTGAAATATTCACTTTCTATTTTGATTTCATTTTGATATCAAGATGAATCATTTTAAAAACCGGGGCAATAAACAATCATTATAATTTCCATGAGTTAATGGATATAAATGATATCGCAGCTAAAAACTAAAATTATCATTCTAAAAATGTTTCAAATAACAGATAATATTAAATCGCATAAGCTTTATAAAAATGATGGGAGCTCAAATTAATTGCTATATTAATTACTTTGAAACAAGTTGTAACAGTAAAATTAATAAACGAATACTACTTAGATAATTTCAATAGTTGCAATTTAATATTATTGACAAGCACAGAGCAAACTTATAAAATACATTTCATAGAAATTAATCTTTTTAATTTTGATCAGTGAAATATAAATTTGTTTTAAATTAGCCAATATGAGTATTTCTCATAATCTCGAATACCCAAATACTTAATATTATTTTTTTTTCATATTGAAAATAAATAATGTGATTTTAATAATTGAACAAATAGACAAAAAAAAATAATAATGAGATAAGGACACGTATGCAATTGAAACTTTAAACTTTGTAGTAATTTGAAGGCAATTTCACTAATTTCAAAACTAATCAAGATATTTTCCAAAATGAAGATGACTTTATGAATTTTTAGAGACTTCACAATACCAAACATATCTTGATAATTTTTTCCATACTTTAAAGGACTTTTATAATTATTATTATTCAAAAAACCTCCCCGGACATTATTGTACACAAAAAAGTAAACTTCTACTCACCTTGGCTTGTTTTGCGTAGTAGAGCTTTCGGCCACGTAGCCGAAAATACCGGCGACGCCACCGCTGGAAACTGCAGGTCTGCTTCAGGAGGTAGCCCTCGAGGGTGCACGCCTGGAACATCAAAGTTTCACGCATGATTTACTGCGAGTTGAAATTGTAGATGCGGCTCTTCGCTTGAAACGAGCACAAAGTCAAGTTGCTGCTCCATTTCGCGCTCCATTTGCCCTTTATTAGCAAGCCTGCGGCGCGGCTATATCGATGAGAATTCGCGAAATTCGCTCGCATTTAACTCGCGTTCCGCGAATATAACATTAGGCGCAAGCTTCCCTCGAATGCTTCAAAGTTTCATTGTCGGTTCATTTAGTGTTTTCAATAAAAATCTATTTCGAGCTCTATTTTAACGTCAACATAATAAATAAATAACTCGATCTTTTAGCTCAATATCTCGCAAATTAAATTGGTGCTTTTTGCATTTACGTCAAGGTATTATTAGTCAAACGGTGCAACCCAATTGATTGCACTATTAATTAATTTATTAAATTTAAAAAGTATTTAAATGACCAATTATAATATTTCTTATGTCATGTATGAATTCTAAATTATTTTTAATGTATATAAATATCCCAAAAACTATCTTAAAATGTTTCATTAATGAAATAAACCACATTTAAAACATTTAAATAATTAATTGCTAAAATGAATGATAAATATTATATTAAAACAGCTAATTTCCAAGAAACAATTTGTCAAATTTTTAACCAAAATCGTGTTTCAATTATGGATATAATGCTAAATATTTAAATAAATTTTTCGCTTCAACCTATAAAGATGAATATTGACGGATTCAATTTTTGTATTACTAGATAAAATTTCAGCTTGGGGTAGAAAATATTTTAAAGGAACCACTAAAACTACCCTTTTCCTGGATTCTGGTTGTTTCCAATAAACAGCACGTGGGTGTTTTGAAAAATAACGATAGTGGCGTGAAATGTCTCCCTAAAAATAAAACCTCTCCTCGCGCATCGATTAGGCATAAAGTGACGAAACGGACGTATTACTCATTTTCCGTGATAAACAAAAAATCTCTGGAAAAAATCTGACGCATATTCGCTGACTAAAAACAGGAAATTTTGGTTAACAAAAGCTGACGCACCCACGCACCAAAAATAATCCTCCAACAGGCCGGTTGTATCTCAATAAATAATATTTATTTGCAAAGCTGAAATAGAATTGTTTTAGCTTTGATGAATGACGTCAAAGAGCGTTTCGCTCTCCCGCTCTGAAGGATGAAATTGTCAAACATAAATTTGTATAATGAAAAAAAGTTAAAGCGTTTCCCAAACACTCGCTCTCCTAAACTCATAAGAAAGCAATTTAAAAAGTCCCGTCAGTGAGAAACAATAATCTGATGACAATAAAAGCGAGAGTGACATTATGGGTCGCCAGAATTCATCTGACGATTTATTCTTTTTTTAAATTGACTGCAGTTTTTAAAATAATAAATTGAAATTTGAAACACCTTGTAAAAGGTTACATAAAAACAACTTTTAATGAATTTCACTTCGACTGTCAAAATTTAGGTTATGTGGAAAAACAGTTAAACTGCGCAAAAGACCCAAAGAAAATAATTTTTTTACTTCAGATTTTTAATGACTTTTAATTTTATTTTAATTAAACTACCTGTTTGTACCTAAAAAAACAATTTTTAATTTTTTTTTTCAACTATTCAGAACAAATCAGAAAATAAAATGTCACAAAAATAAAAGAGCTGCGAGAAATTATTTTTTAACAATTTTCTTTAAAGCCAAAATCTTCGTAAAAAAAGTCAAAGTTCTTTCATTGGAAATTCTATGTAATACGAAATTTTTAAATCGCCTAAATCTTTGATAGATTTGGCAGAAAACAATGATTAAACGATATTCTTAATTTTGTAAAAATTATCAAAAAGACCTTGAGAATTACAATCCAACAAAATGAGATCAGCCTTCTCTTGATGAAAATGAATGAGAGTTGGCGAGCGCAGATATTCCATTATTTCTGGCCGTCACCCGCTCGCACCCCATCCATAACTCGCACTTTCGTCACATGGCCGGCAGAGAGACATATTAGGCGAGGAATGCTGTGGCGACTCTAATTAAGGCCCGGGTCCAATTTATTGGGCGTAATCCACAAGACGTCCGTCCGTTCGTTCACCCTTAATCGGGGGAGAGGGTGCGCCGCGAGCCGTGCGTCATCCCTGCAGAAATAATGGGCCAGGTGAGAGCAGCGCAGCATCCGACAGCAAGATCCACCGCAAAGATGATTTAATTTCTGGGAAAGGCAATAAATTTTCCCATTAAGCCTTCCAGGTAGATGCCCTCGGGGTTTTCTATTTTGTTCTGCTCATTTTTTTTAGCTTCCCTCGTCCCCCGAGGAAATTTCTTTTCCGCGAACTGCACCAAATAAATTTCCATTTTGCGTCGTCATTTCAAAGGCCCCTCGTAAATTAACACCCTTTATCTTCATCACACGCAATAATTCTCGCCCGCGCCCTCTAACGTGTACTTTCCTTGTGCGGCCACACCCGTGCTCTGTGTATCCTCGGAAATCATCTGCCGCTCTTCGGCCATACATTAACGATTGGACACTATTTTTAGGTCACAACTTTGCGAGCACAGACGTGTTTTATCGGTCTTGTTAATCCGTCGCCGCGACACCGTTACCTTTTGGGGGTGTTGCCTGCACTCACCACCAAACTCAAAAGAAATTGCAAAACTACCTGCAGCCGAAAAAATTAAATTAACTTTTTTTTTTAATTTTTCTCCTCTTAATTATATTTTTACGAAGTATGAGTGATGAAAAACGATATTCTTACAATGAGAAAAAAAATGTTTATTGGAACATTGGAGGTGCAGTATCTCCTTTCGAGCAGGGTTGCTCGCATAATCCGCTCCTGGGCATTCAAAGAACAACAGTGCAGATAAAATTTCAAGCTAGATTTGACAAAATTGAAAAAATAAATCTGATATAAAACTTGGCGCTCTTGTATCAAATTAATCAATTTGAGATCAGTTTCCATTTTGATTAAATCAGCTTCTGTTTCCCTTGCAACCTGATCGAATTTTACATTTTTTCTCAGAAAAAAATTATTGCGCATCTCAAGCATTGGTTTTTTTTATACACAGACACATGAACATAAATTTAATATGCCAACAATTATTGCTTTTTATTATATAATTATAAATAAATAGCTTCCTATGCGAATTTTTTTAAAACCCTGACATTTTTTTCACGAGTAAAATTGCTAAAAAATGCATTCAACATCACAAGAAAATTATCAAAATTTAACTTTTTGATGAGGATGCAACTTTCATCTGCGAACCGAGAAGATAATTATTAATTATCTCTCCAGAAAAATTGTCTTTAACAATATTCTAAAGAACCACAATAAGGTGCACTTTGGCCTTTGCGAAGGAGATTTTTGCCCAAGCAAAAGTTCGCCTTCTACTTTAAAAGGAAAAATGGAAGAGACTATATCGGCGGGAAGATTGATGCGTTTTTAATACAGCGCAGACCTTTACGGAGACCTTTACGGGCGCTCGGGTCGCGAATAAATTTGAGAAAGGTAAGCCCGTACGTGGAGCAGACAAAGCCACGCGAGGGCTAATATTCGGGCCTATTGATCGGCCGGCGCGTGCATCGGCGGCTCATGAGGTGATGCAAGTGAGGATTAGCGCGAGCTGATTTCAGGACCGCGCAAAAGGCGGCACACTTTCGGGGATGACCTTATTACGAGATAGAGCGAGAGCAAGTCGTGACGTCATACCGACCTCATCAAAATATTTATATATGGGGCCGCGCGCCGCGCACAAATTCGCAACCAACTTCACTTCATGCATCTTTGCGCACGTGTGACAAAAACGATTACCGGCGCCTCGCTTTACTCGAGTTCTGCAAGGAAATTTGGCCCCTGCAATCAAGAGACGCAATTTAAATTGAGTCTTGAAACTATGCTCAAGATCAACTATAAAGATTTGTTATTTAAAAAGAAAAAAATATCTAAATTACCTATTTCCTCTCATTTCATTATTTCGTCCTTTTTTAAATATCAAACATTTTTTTTTAAATTTTAGTCAAATTTAAGGTAAAATTTTTAAGCATTTTAATTAATTTTTTTAGATATATCATCGAGATGAATAAATCTTCAAATATATTAAACCAGGTCAATAATACGCCAAAAAAGTTATGTATGTCATAAAGGAAATGTATGAGGACACTGTAAGAGGTTATAAAGAACTGACAGAATATTCTTTCAATAAAAATTAAATTCTATTATTTTAGGCACCTTCAATACATTTTAATGTACAAAATTTCAAAATAACTACAGTGGCTTCATTAATTTTTCAACGTTGACCAAATCTTAAATTCGTGACTGATTAACGGGCGCCACAACTAAATGTTGCTCCCCTAAATCAAAATTTACACTGCAACTATTGAAATCTTTGATAAAATTTTCATCGAAAAAAAAAATTTGTTTGCACAATAGGTATTTTGGAACGTCTCATTTCTAGCCGCTTAGATAAAGAGACAAGTTCCACATTTAGAAGGCGGAAAAAAGGGCAAGCCGCGCGCGGGCTGTTTAGTTTATCACCGCCGATCTTGTTCAAGGCTCTGGTCCATTAACCCCGCGCTAATGCATATCTGCCCTAAAAACGATTCCCTCTTCCTTTGCCGCACGGATCTGCCTCTTGAGCAAAAAGAATAAGAGAAGATCATCCACCAAGCCGAGAGGGCTATTTTACTTTTAAGTAGCGTCAATTTTAGCATGAATTTGGAATTGGAAGCTTCCAAGGATAAAAGATAGAATAACAATTTGTAAAACAAAGTTTTACATATAAACGTGTTGTCTAGACAACTTTTTGTTAACTTTTAATTTAAAATTCAAATATTAAAAATGTATTCAAGTTTTATTTTATGATTTAATTTGACAGTGTATAAATTGAATGGGGAACAAATGAATAAAACTGAAAAAAAACTGAATTATATATTTTTGAGCTCAAGATCGGTCAGCCTAAATATAATAATTTCGCCAATAAAAATAAATTTAAAAAGAAATTGAAAAGGGATTTAAAAAATTTCAAAAGTGTACTATTATACCCTTGGAGTAATGATTTAACAAAGTTTGCAATTTTATAATTATACGATTTATTATTATTGTCTTTATTAAACACAAATGTTTAAGACGTCATGTATTGCTGGTTGAAATCAATGATAATAAGCATAATAAGTAAATTTAAGTCTTATAACATTTAAGTTTTATCTTTATCTAATGTAGCATATTTAGTTAGAGATTTTACTCTATTAGAACAATTAAGGAGGTGATCTAAAATTTCCCATTATTAACTGGTGATATAATTTTAAAACTCCATTATTAACATTAAAACATTATTTGTCAAACCAAATCATACTTTTGCGGTTATTTTTACTAAGTACTTGTTTTCTTGTTAATAATTTGAACAATGTGCAAATTCTTCTATATTATTGCTATCTAGAAGCATACTTAAATTATACTAATTTTACACTTACTGTCTCAATGGTGGATATATTATAATCCTTATTTAAGGTTTATGATCTATATCATTTTTCTTTTTAAGTAAAAATGGATGGTAAAATTATTCAAATTTGTGGTGTGATCGCTTGTGAATATTCTGGTTGTTGGCCAAATAATATTATGCGCACACACAAATTTGCGTGCGGCCGCAACAACCCGAGGAGTGACCCCAAACTGTCAATCAAAACATCAACACAACAACCACCCCGCTGCTGGCAGTGGGGGTGACAACAAACAAAGCCCCCGGGGGTGGAGGCGCGCCGACGAGGGAAAGGCCTCCGCCCGTCGCGTGCACGGTTAATTCGCACCCCCTGCCCTTTCCCGGCGCCCAAATGGGCACACACACGGAGTGCCGCAGTGAGAAAAGAAAGAAAAAGGTATCTGGCGGCGGGGTGTGCCACGCCCACCTGAGAGGGTCACTCACCGCAGCACCCTTGGAGGCCTCTTTGGTGGACAGCTGGCGGCGGAAGGCGGGGGCAGGTTCGGTCTCGCTGCCCGACGAGTCCTCGCAGTCCTCCTCAGGGGCGGCCAGGGTGCAGCAGGCCTCCGGGGCACTCATGCCCGTGCCGACCTGCCTGCCTCCCAGCTGTACACTCACCCTGCGCAGCCGCACCACTCCTCGTACTCCCCTTCCAGCGGAGCAGATAGGCCGGCGCAAAAAGGCAGCGTGTGTGTGTGTGTGTGTGCGGTGATATGCAACCGGTGTGACACCAACCCGCAAAAAGACTGCCTGCGCCTACTTGACCCCAATCATAAGGAGCTAATCGCGAGGCTCGTTATACGTGATTTTACTTTTGATTGTCAATCATGCACGAGACCTGAATGAGGCTATTTATTCTTTTATTCCAGTGGAAAATAAAGGTCAAGAGTGATAATTTATTAAACCTAGCTTTTTTGTTCTTTTGAAGTACAAAACGAGCGCAAAACTCAAAGGAGCTCTATTTTAAATAAGTGTATGAAGAACTTCAAATAAGAGAACGAATGTTATTCTTGCAGTCTCAATAATAAAAATAATCAAAAATATAAATAAATTATAATAAAATTAATTATTATTATTTGCAATAAAGTGAGTAAACCCTCTGACTTTCCAATGAAAATATTTAAAGCGTTAAAATATAATTATGCTGTTTTTTTTCCATTCTTTCAATATTATAATTTTCTAAAAAAAAATCTCCAAAACTTTCCAAACCCAGGGGTCAAGGGTCAAATCATTTTTTAATAAATACATCTTAAGACAAATTGGTTGCATTATTCTGTTAAACAGTTTTATAAAAAAAAATCGTATAAAAGGTAAGTTTTTTAATTTAATTCCAAATTATGAAATTAATGGTGATTTTTTTAAATTTGACTTTTCCTCAATGGATTTTTGCGAGTTGCTGATACTGCTTTTGAAATTAAGTTTATTTGTGCACCACAACTCAATCTCTGATTAAGGCTGAGATATATCCGGGTACATCATGCAAATATTAAAAAAATTAAATCTTAAAAGTATCAAAAAAATTTGAAAAAACTATACTCACTTAAATTTTCTGAAAAAGGCAGCTATTCAAAAACATCTAGCCCTCATCCTTAGTTTTGTAATACCTAGATTAAAAAATAATAATAATTTTTCCTTCTCTTTAGCACTCATATTAAAATAAACATTTTTTTCTTGTTACAAATAAATTATTTTCCATTACTTCACTCTCTCATATAAATCCGTGTGCGCTTCACCAACAGAGGTCATGCCGCCAATCGACTTAAAAAAATCGACATCTCGACGCGACTCCGCCCACTATCACCCCGCCCACCCCAAATTTTGCACAACAAAAACTCGTGCAATCGCAAAGTAGATTTGAAAGATCACTTTTACGAAATTAACCAGCGTGGACCGAGATAATGAGTTTTGCTTTAAGGTGCATTCTTAAGGAGGCGCGATATGTGCAGATTTTCTCAGGTAAATTTTCTAATTTTTTTTAGATATATGCGCATAATATTATTAATACAATGTACATACTCTTCTTGTATGGCGTTTGTATCACACATACATAATTATTATTTGCCGACTCAAAACTCAAACCCAAAATTTTACTTTTCTTATGAAACAACATTTAATAAAGTTTGTGGATTAATTTGCTTATTATATTAATTCTTAATTATGTTCGTAGTTCAGCAACAGCGATACTTAAAAAGATGGTTGGCACCGACCCTGAAAGCGATGTACAAAAGGAAGGAGAGGCACGAATATTTGTATGGACCTATTCCAATCCCCAAAAGATCTGCCTTTTTAGAATGGTAAGTTGGAAACAAGTTAGAAAAAAAGATATAATTTCAACTTACCGTTTGCTATTTTTAGGAATTTCGGCTCTGAAGTTTTCGCATTTGGAAAAAGGCTGGGAGAGCAATTTGACGACAACCTCCTTCGTCAGGCATTTACTCAAGCGGATTATCTGCACAAAATTTCTGAGGAGCAGAAAAACCTGGGGCTGGAGAATCCTGATTCAGTGTTGGTTAGCAGCAACGAAGAATTGGCTCGAGAAGGGCGAGAGCTCATTAGTCAATACGTCTTTGGCTTTCTGAGACATACCCTGAAAAAATTGCCTGAAGAGGGAGTGAGGTTGGAAGATTATTTAATTTTTATATGTGATTTACATGAATTAATTTCAGGAGTATTCACGACAAGTTGTTGGGAGACGAAATGTTGGCGCACATTTCTAAAAACCTAGGAACTAAAGATATAATCCTCACTGCAGTAATTATTTTAAATCTGTTAACTATTATTACAGATAAAAATAAACTTCCTTTTTGTAGGAACATGAGCCTAGTGAAGGCACCTACTCAAAAGTGTTTTGTGCAATCGTGGCCGCTCTCTCTCGGAGCTCCACTGCAGACAGGACTGGTGGATTTATCAGAGACTTTGTTTTGGCTCAACTCGCGGAAAACAGCTTAGCAGAATTTTACATCCCCGAGAAGCCATGGGCAACCTTAGAAGCTCTGTGTCCTGGCGTGGAGGCGAGACTTGCCAATGCAGAAGGACACGGGACAATAATGGCTGCATATCGAGTCGCAGTTTTTAATAAGGACAAGCTGTTTTTGGGCGAAGGTAAGAATTGAATGTTAAAGTACAAAATGCTTCATTACATATTCTTGTTAACCAGGATTTGGAGAGACAGTTAAGGTGGCCAAAAATTTGGCTTCAGTTGATGCTCTTAACAAAATGTTTGAAATTCATGACGCTCGAAGCCCGCTGCCGCTTGGACCAAATGAATGTCCCAAAATTGAGGAGATTGGTTTGAAAATGAACAATCCAAACCCTGCCATCAATGAGTTGACCCCAAATATTGTTAGATTGGGTTAGAATTATTGATAGTAAGCTGTAGATTAAATAAAATTGATGTTTATTATAATACAAATAATTTCATTTTTCTCAGTTGCTTCCCATAAATTGGTTATCAAAGTCTTCCGAAGTAATCTAATAAGCAAATAAAATTTAGGGATTCATTTCGAATAAAACAAGAAATATAACAACCTTTTTCTTCTTAAACTTCTTGATCAAAGCTATGTCCTTTGCAAGCTCCTCCATGTCATCCTGGCTAACTTTGACCTTCTTCCTCTTTTTTTGCTCCCTCAATTCCCGTTTGCGTTTAGACTTGATGTCGTCCTTGGTTGCCCTTAGCTCCTTAGATTTTGCCCAAGACACCGTTTGGACTTTCCTCTTCTTTTTTCCAGGCCATTGCCCAGTTTCTTGGTACTCCTCAAATTTCCTTTTTCTTGACGCTTCTTTTTCAGAATTTCTATAAAAGAGCAAAATATATCAGATTTTTTTAGTTTTGTAGCAATTTTAATCTTTTAATATCAAAATTTTACCTGTACGAAATCGTGTTTGTGTTGACGGGGTCCTCTTCAAAATCTTGAACGGTTTTACCTTTCAGCTCTGGCATCTTAGGCATTTTGAGGAGACCAAATCCTGTTGCAAGTTCTCCGAAGTTCAAATCTAATAATCAATTTAAAATATGATAAAGTAAGAAAAAAGTGCAAAGAACCTTTTAAACGTAGAATTAAGTGGCACTCATGCTTTCCATATGATTTTATGTATGAAACAAATGCACGATTGGCTTTGTCAAAAATTGCTCTGTCAGACTTTTGCAAGCCTCTAATCTTTTCCAAATATTCAGGAACATCCTCTTCAGCATCAACAGACTCTAACAACACCTGAATTCAAGTAATTAAATGTCTGCTGTTATTGATAAGCTTGAAATTAACTATACCTTTTGATTGATTTTCAAAAACTCAACATAATTCTCTTCAGTTGGTAGTAGCAGCAAGATAGCCGAGCCCTTCCTGCCAATTCGAGCTGTCCGTCCACAGCGATGAACAAAGGCAGCTGCTGAAGAAGGTGGGTCATACTGGATAACCCAGTCCACCAAGGGAATGTCAACTCCCCTAGCCATTACATCAGTGCAAACCAAAATTCCTAAATAAACTAAATGTATGAAAAATTTAAACATAAATATTTATAATAAACCAGAATCAGCGCTGCGAAAAGTGTCAAAGACCTTATGTCTTTTTTCTTTCATTTTGCCGTGAATGCTGAAAATCTTTGTGTCACTCAAGCATCTGAAATTTGTAAGCCAATTATCAATTGCAATTATGAAATTAAAAATAAATGAACTCACTTAGAAAGGAGGTAGCCAAAGTATTCGACACATGCGCATGTAGCAAAGAAAATCATAAATTTCCCAGAAGCTTCAGAGGAGTTAATTTTCACAAACTCAATCAATTGAGAAAATTTATTTTGAGGTTCACAAATCATGTAGTAGTTGGCAAGTGAGGCTGGAGTTTTGCTTTGCTGAAAATGAAATTTAGCAGATTGAAAATATATCATCACTAAGCATAGTGTGTATGGGTACCTCATCATTTCCTTCTGCGTTTTTAAATTTTTTCTCAGACACTGCCACAGCAACTGGATTCCTCAATCCTGCCCTGACCAAAGCTTGCACCTCTTTAGTCTGCGTAGCAGAAAATAGTCCTGTCCTCCTTTGTCGAGGTAATCGAACCAAAATTGAATTCAACGCCACCTCAAAACCCATGTCGAGCAAGCGATCTGCTTCGTCCAAGACTAACAGTTCCTATACACATGAAAAAAATTGAGAAGTGAGAAAAACTAAAAATGAATTAATTACCAAGCTTTTGACTCCTTGCAGCAACCCAGAGTTGAGTTGACGATCCATCAAATCCAAAAGTCGGCCAGGCGTGGCAATCACAATGTGTGCCCCTTTTTTTGATATTGCTTGGACATCTTTTGTAACAGGACAGCCACCCACCAGCAATATCTGTATTTATACAATACTTGCGTTTAATGCACAAATTAAATTTTATTTAATAATCTCCTTACGCTTGTGAACTGGGGAAGGTGTTTCAAAAATCCTTGCAGAACTTCAAATGTCTGGGTTGCCAATTCTCTAGTCGGTGAAATAATTATTGCCCCACACTCTTGTTTTTTCAGAGGTACCGTCCTTTTCTGTACATGCAATTTAAACTAATTATAATTTTTATTTGCTTCTTCAAATCATACCAAGAGCATCTCCAACATGGGAATCACAAAAGCCAGTGTTTTTCCACTGCCTGTGACAGCTTCTGCGGCGACGTCTTTATTTTTCAAGAGAAGCGGGATGGTAGCAGCCTGCAGGAAAAGAAATTCCAGACCTCTATAGCAATTAAAATCTTGAGTTTAATCAACATTATCAAACCTGAACAGGAGTCATCTTTTCGAAGCCCAATTCAGAAAGGTGTTTAACAATCGGGGGACTTAGCTTGTAGTCCAGTTTTTCCCACGCCTCGGTCAACATTGCTGTTTTCGGATTAAGGATGGTAATTGCAAAATTTCATTCGCAGAGCTGAAGTCGTGGTCCTATTCAAAAATTAAGAACAAAATTTGGGTGCAAAATGTTCCTCAAAAATCAAAAAGCTCAAAAAACAGTCATGCTGGATTTTGTTTACCAACCTAGCAGGCAAGGTGAACGCTGATTGGCTCAAAGCAAAACTCATTCACCAATGGCGACGCGAGTTGCAAAAAATCAACTTGAGAAAAGTTGAGAAACTTCTTGCTTGAGAAAAGCTCAATTAAATACATACAAGGATACATAATAATAATATTCATTATTCATAATTGTGAAGTTTAAATATAAGATGATGAATTTCATATGAGAAGACAGAAGACGCTTAAAACCAGCCGATTGAAACAATAAAATGAATAAAAGCAAATTTACGCTCGAGAATTCATGCTCAGAAAACAAAGAAGTGCATCAGTTTTTATATTAAAATTAATGATGATCAATAATAAAAATGAAAACTATATTCGATAAAATAATTAAAATCTTATTAATTATTAGCATTATCACTTTGTAAAAATTATAAAAAAACCTAACTTAGTACGACATATTCATTTAATTAAGCGACGTTTTAAAAATTTGTGTTCCAGGATTGAAATAATTGTAGACCAAGCAGGAAATTCTAAATTAAGGTGTACACTATTGCGGGGGATTTCTTCACGAGCTTCTTTTGTCGGGATCACGGATCACTCATGGATCACTGGAGGTTTGCATGGCTGATCTCATAGGACATCCACATATCATTTTTATAAATAAATAAGGTACAGAAATGCAATAAAAATCCTCTAGTATTATATAATTTTCTTGCTTGAAATATTTGTATTAAAGCGTAAATAATTACTCAAGTAAAAGAAAAAATTAGCATAGTGTGGTAATAACAATTATTGTTACTTTTAAATGATTTCAATTCTTAGATTCCCTCTTTGCTACATCATTTTTTTTTATAAATAGTTATTTTGTAAATTTAAATGAACATGGAACATAAATTAGAAGTTTCACAGAGTGAATTATTAATCAAGTAAATATTTTCACTTGCAGGCTTTTCTAGTCGGAGGGATTTTGAATCACCATTAGGATGTAGTCCTTATCTAAAAATAAAATTTCAACTTTGTTAAGAAAAAACAATGGATTATATTATTGAAATTAGCTTTACCAGGGGCAAGCATGATTTCATGCTTCTTGGTCCTGACCCTAAGAAATGTAAGGTCATTTGTGGGGTCCAAGTCTCGGACTACACTGCGAGCTTTATCCGCCAACTGGCTGACCAAACCAGCGTACTGTACGGTCGACGTATTGTCCATGGTGGTTTTAATTGGAATTCCTGAAGCAATCATGTGCAAATTAAAACTCGCAAAATACTCAATTAATTTTTAGGAATCCAAACCTTCAGAATTGACAACAATTGTGCCAATCACACCCTTGTGGGACTGGAGCCTCTTCAGAGTTTCTTCAACTTCTGCTGCCTGAAATTGTTAAATCGTTATAATTATTATGTAATTGAGCATGTAAGTTACACAAATGGATTACGTGTGTCCTGCGTGTGTCATTAAAACTATGTATGTATTCATAAATTTTCTTACCATTCCTGATCGATTCGGTTTCGAATTGAAAAATCTTTGACGTGAGCAAAAACTTTTATTTCCTTTCTTGTTTACTTCTTGTTTTGGTTACCAAAATGAGTCAAAATCACCAACATGACTAAGTTCTCAATGAGCTTAAAATTTGAAAATTCATACACAATTTCATTATTAGTAAAAATTAAGTCTTGTTAATAAGTTAATTAATTAAAATTGGTAAACATTTACTATGAATTTTCCTTTATTGAAATTTTTCAAACTTATTTCAAACTTTATTTTGTTGACTAGCTATGAAATTTTCAACCATGTGGGCCGGCCTTCTTCTTCCCGCGGATTCGCGGAATATCGTCCGGCTGTCATTTTTACTGTCAGAGTTCTCAATTCTTTTGTAAAATTTACAGACATTTCAGCCCTTTTCTCGGCCTAATTCAAGATTTCAATATGTCCAGTCTTAAAGACTTGTGTGAGCTTCATTTCGGCACAACAGACATCTACGAAGTCCTTGGAATCGACCCAAAGGCCTCAGAAAAAGAAGGTGCGCATTTTGAGCATTTTGCATTCGCTGCATGCATACATACCACACACTTGCTACATACAGAAATTTATTGGGAAGAAGGAAGAATTTAATTAATTTAATAATTTATTGCTGCTCCTGCAGTCAAAAATGCGTACAGAAAGATGTCCCTGAAGATTCACCCCGATCGAGTGGAAGAGTCGGAAAAGAAAATCTGCACTGAAAAGTTCCAAATCCTGGGCAAAATTCATACCATTCTGAGTGACAAGGAAAAGCGCAAGGTCTATGATAGGACTGGTATGACCTTGTAAACTAAAAAATTTCTGCAAGAATTTGCAACATTTTCATTTTCTAAATTTCAGGCGATGTTGACAGTGATCTGGACGCTGACTGGCTTGATTATTGGAGGTCCATTTTCAAACCTGTCACCAAACAAGACATTGTCGACTATGAGAAGAAATACAAAGGTCTGTTCCGTCCACCTACGTGTTTCCCTCAAGGATGGACGCGATCTCAAATTTTCAATGGCGATCAGTAGACGGTAGCAGTGTTGTGATTGCGATCATCTTATCAGAAAATGGTGCGGCGATCACGATCTTGCGATTTTATTGCGATCATTCCTTAAATGAACTGCATTTTTTTAAAGTGGGTCTTTATTTGATATCTGATGGCCGATGGTATAAAATTTATAATGCTTAGCCTACCTTAATATTTTATATAGTATTCATTTTAATTGTTACCAATTAGTTATTTTATTTAATTAACAGTTCACTAAATGTAGCCAATTTAGTCACAATGAATTATAAATACAAAGCATGTCTCACTCATACATGTCATACAACTCCATCTGATTCAATCCGTAAAATTTTCCATATTGTATCAGCATGAGCTCTTCAAACGTTCGGTCACCCATTCTTCCTCTGACAGTAAGCTCAGACAAAGTTCTGCCTGCGGTAGTAATATACACGCTCCAGAATGCCACTCGAGGGCACAGCAGTGTTGAATTTAATGAAAACCTTTTTGTCATTTGGGAGTTGTTCACAAGAAAAGACTGGAAATTGAAATTATCCTACCAGATCATAGCATTAAAATGTATCTCTGTAATTGAAAAAAAAAACATATAATATGATTGCATTTGCATGCGATCTACTGACTTTTGCAATCGTGATCTTCTTTTAAAAAAAAAGGTGCGATCACGATCATATAGCAATCACAGATCTCTTTTGCAATTTTGTCCATCCTTGTTCTCCTATAACCAAATTTATATTTGTTTTTACTAATGAAAATATAAATTCTAAGGTTCTGAAGAGGAGAGAAATGATTTGAAAAGTGCTTACAACACTTACAAAGGGGACATGAACAGTGTCATGGACGCAGTTCCGTTTGCTGACATGGAAGATGAAGAGAGACTGACGGAGACTCTGAGGGAAATGATTGAAAATGAGGAGGTCGAAGATTTTGATGCTTTCAGCAAGGAGACCAAGCAGAAGAAGCTGAGGAGAAAGAAAAAGGCATGTTTGTATTTTTGTAAATGCTACTAAATTTTATGTTAATGTAATGAAAATTTTAGATGGAGAGAAGAAGGAAGGAGTTTGAAAAGGCAAAGGAGGCAGATGAAGTGCCTGACGAGGATTCTCTTTCCCAGGCCATCTTGCAGAGGAAAATGCAGCGAGAAGGGGCTGCCAATGATTTCTTCTCTGCTCTGGAAGCCAAATACTGCAACGGAAGCAAGAAAAGTGAAACGAAAACCTCTGGTCGCAACAAGAAGCAGAAAACTAAATGATTGAAGCTATGAATCTCTACTCTTTATTTATAAAGCAAGCTATTATTTGTAATATTTAACGTAATGCTAAATTCGCACATTGACATCTCTAATATTTTTTTTGTAGGCTAGTATTAGAGTAATTATGATATGAATAAATAAATTTTGATTAATTTTTCAACTATTTCAATGCAAATTTAAAATTTATTTATTTCCTAGCATCTTTCAATGCGCTTCGTCATAAATTTTTCAATGTATATTTAATAATTTATTATGCTCGAATTAAATCATAATGGTAAAAAAAGGAAAGTTGATTCTTGCCCAATTTTACATCACAGGCTTATAACGTAGTTTGTTTGACCTCAATGTATGATTTTTTTTAGTTGCTCTTCAATTTTATTACTATTATTAATAGGCTGCACCTGCTAAGCATAATATAATGAGTAATTTTGGCAAAATTTGAGCTGAAGAGATTCGTCAATAGGTGTCGCGACGTGCCTGTCATAGGCTTTAGCCGGATCCACCTCCATCCAATCCCCAGTCACGGATTCCTGAAAGTATGGCCGCTGTTTGCCAATTTCAAGTGCTATCAATTTGACTTTCAGGACTGAATTTTGTTACAAGTTCCAAAAATCACACATCCAGAATCGGCCCGAAATTCATCAGCATGCATAGGCGCCGCCGATGACCTTGTGCCGTTTCGGATTCATCGTCGGCAGGCGCGAGGAGGGAGGTGAAAAGTCGACCCGGCGCAAGGTACGTGCATGCTGCTCATGGTATTATTTTATTTGCTCACTCTCGGGGGCATGACACTTTCAATGACGATTGCTGAAGGTTATTTTTTGACATCGCTCCGCAATGCCTCGTGCGCAAAGTCAAAAGTGGTGTTGACACTGAATGTCGTCGTCGACTCGTCTCGTTCGGACTTTATTGCGTTGATCCACCTTTGAAAACTTGATGCCTGAGTCGCGCTAAGAGTCCTAGACTGTTAAGACGTGCACGTATCCTGAAGCCAAACCACGTTCCATTCTCCGGCCAGCGTGTCACATGACCCGTGCAGGTTATCATTGGGTCATGTTAATAATATTGATTTAAATTAAAAAAAAAAATAATAATAAAAAAGTATTTATTACAAAAATAAATTTACATGGAAAATCTTAATTATAAATAATTTAATAATTTTATTTAACAAAATAAATAATATTTATGTTGCTGGTTAACGCTTACATAATTTTATGCTTGATATTTTTTTGCCAGTGTCTAATAGCATAACTTTTTCCAAACCATTTCGATGCAAATTTTCAACCACGTAATACTTTGCTGACAGAATATTTATGAATGGCTCTCTCGCGACACGAGTCCCTCGGATTACTACTGTTATTAATTATTCTTCTGTGACTTCTTCTCGCGCACAGACCTTGTTAATTTAATACGAGTGCTGCTAATTGCTGTTTCATGCCTTGTCTTGAACATGAGCACGACGCTGAATATTTATTTCAGTTGATCGAACTTACTCTTTGATCATAAATTTTCACCCTTGTTCCATTTCCATTTCAACACATTTTAATTTAATTTTTTTTGCAATTATCAATTCCAAATTAATTGTGCTATTAAATTATAATTTTATTTTACAAATATTTAAGTTGCTAAGTTGTTGTTAACGCTTATATAATTATTTTTAATGCTTGGTATTTTGTGCCATTTAAGTGTCAAAGCATAACTTTTTCAAATCATTATTCAATTTCAAATTAATTGTGCTATTTATTGAGATTATATTATTGTTTACATAGAAGTAGAACAAAAAACCCATTCAATGATCTTATTTTGAAATTAATTTTTAAAAAATGTATGCAATTAATTGCTGCTCTTGCTCTGACAATTTAAAAGGAAAGTGAAAGAGGTGATTACGATCTGATTGTCAGAGTTGAAAAGTTTGAAAAGTTTTGAGCAGAGAAAACGTGTGTGTACTGCGGGGATAGAGAGAATTGCGTGGCGATTTCCAATGGGACTGTCACTTTCGGCCCCGGCTGGAGAGTGACCTGTTTGCTTATGGAGCGTGCAGGCTGAGTAAAATGGTCTTGTGCAGGCTGTGCTCGCGATCGGGGTCAGCACCTCGTTGCCTTTGATTCCCCAACCAAACACACTCATTAACTACAATTATTCAGCGCCCCATAGCTCTCAAAAATACGAGCGCCGAAACGGCTTTCTCGGGGAATTATAATCAACGTACCAGTTTGTTTTACTTTTTTTTGCATAACACTTTTTCTGTAGAGAGTTTGAGAGCTAAATTTAGACGGACCAAATTGAAGTTTCTAATAAATCTCTTAAAAATTCCAAATTTGAAGACAAAATATAGACGCAAATATTGCGTTTCTCACCTTAAATTTTTTCGGAATATTAATTAAGCTAAATTTTTCTAATTTTACTTATTTTCACACATTCTTATCAGTCTCATTGAAAATCTTTATTAAATAAAATAATTAATTTAAATTCAAAATATTTTGATTTAATAGAAGTTAATTGTGTTCTTCTTCATATATTAGATTTTTACTTTTTTAGAAATTAAAAAAAAAATGAACAAAAAAATATATACAATTTAATCTTGTTAGCTCCCAAGCTGCACAAATGGGACTCTCCTTTTAATGACTTGTGAATGTTTGTCTTGTTAAATTTTTGCTGCAAGATTTCCATTTTCACCTCGCGAGCGATCCACTTACACTTCTTACAATCAGCACAAAGAGCCGATTTAACTCTTACAAAAGTAAAAGCCTCTCTCGATTGTGTCTCTGCGCGTCTGACCGAATTGGGCCCATCCCGCACGTTTGCAGCCGATTTCCCTTGAAAAAGGGCAAGTGAAATGATTTATTCAGGAACACGAGAGAGCCGCTCTCCTCCGCGCCACATTATTTATTGCAATTGCTTGTGCAACTCGTGGAGAACATAAATATATATAACTTTCGACTCGAGCGAGGTGTATTGTCACACACACGCGCGCCCTTTTGTTCTGATTTTACTGCCTAGACCTCGCGCCTTTTTTATGTGAAAACTCACTCTCGTATGGTGCTGCTCATTAGATTTCACTGATTGATTGGATTATTGGCTCCTCCACAGTCACATTCCAAGCCTCGTGCGACGCCAGGCCAACAACGGCTTCGCTAATTAATTGAAAATCTGATTTGAATATTATGTGATTTGTACTTTATTGCTTTTCGTAACTATTACAAAATTTTGGCCTTAATTTAAAACATTCAAAAATTTGCATTGATTACTTTTATCTTTCAGATATATTTGCATGAAATATGGAGTAGAATTAATTTTTACCCTTTATACTTGCTGCAGTTTAATTAATTAAACGAAACATGATGATGTTAAAGTAACACAAAAATCCTATATTGTTAATCTATATTATACTATTTTATCAATTTTATCCTCCCTCTTATGATAAAGAACTAAAATTAACTTTGTAAACTTGTTCTTGATTGAAAAACAAACACAGTAACTATTGCTGAAGAAACGATTTCTCTTCACTAATTGCTGAGCAATTTGTCCAAATTAAGGCTGGCTTGGTAATTGCATTTGCATTTCAATTGGCCAATTGAGGGTAGGAAGAGGTCAGAAGGTCAATTCTGGTGTCACGCGAGGCCTCATCTCGGCCTTTTTAAACTCGGCTTTTAACGGCAAGAGCAGCAAAAGAAACTGCTTTATTTTCAGCCTTGCTCACGAACACCGAACGATTGTCGTACCAAATATATCAAATCAGAGTTGGCAATTGTTTGCTATTGAACTGCAACAGATTAGAAATTCCTATTTATTAATCAGAAATTTTAAAAATAAAAAAAATCTCCAAATAATTATGAATTTTTGTTGATAAAAAAATTACTGTACAATTCATTGATATTTATTGAATCCAGGCAATTTATTGTCCAAATCGCATCGTGATGATTTCCACCCTAAATTTTTTCACATTAAATTTTGTTGATTTCAGAATTTTGTTTAAAAAGTTTTGTTTAAAAACTAAAAGAACATGAATGTGTGTCAGCCTTGGATTTGATTAGTTTTCCAAACAAAACAAAAACACGGTTTGCTCTCTATTCTTTCCCGTGTTTGCGAAATGCATTCCAAACTTTGCATTTTATTGCTCGGGAGGGAGATGCAGATATAGGGGTTTGAAATTACGTGCCGTCTTTTGTGTAGGAAGGATGTGCAGCACGCGCTGCAAGCGACTGCAGCAGAACAATGGAACAAGCAAAGCACCTGCAAGATGATTATTAGAAACAAGGGCAATCGCCCTCCGCCTGCAACAAGCGCTGCTCAACCAGGCTGACGTCAATCTGCGCTGAAAACAAGGGCATTTCATGTTTGTAACCCCGTTAGTGCTGCTCTCCGTTGCACACACACTCACATTAACCTTTTTCCGCGCTCGCTCGTACTCTTCATTTCCATGCGCCGAGAATGACAAATCACCGGCCGGCCTAATCATCCGGGTGCAACATTTATTCAAATTTTCCGTTTGTTTGGTGAAACGTAAACAAGCCAAGTGTAACAGGCGCGCCGATAACGTTCGCCGGCGTGCTCGCGAAACCTAAAAGCACACTTTCAACCAATTTGACAAGTCGCAGCTAATTTTTTCCATGTGGTTCTTGGCCTCTGACATGTGGGCCTGCAGATAACGCATTGATAAAAATTACAAGACATGAAAAAAAATTTGTTGAAAGTCATCGTGCCCTCAATCAAACGTATATTTTACAGAAAACATCGGGCTGACAATTACTTTTCTTATCAAAAAATGAATAAATATATAAATATAGCTCATGACTTTATAAATTATATTCATAATTAAATTAATTTGTTGGTAAAAATGTTAAAGAGGCTTAAAATTTATTATTAATCATTTAAACATTCTTTGCGAGAAATAATTTAACCAAAAAGGAATAAAATAGGCTGCCCTAAAAGCAATGACATAAATTAAATAAATTTAAAAAAAAAAACAGATTAGCCAGACCAAGACAGCAGCAACTAAAAGATAATTCAATTATTTTTTCTTGTTATTTGTTATATTTCCTCTAGAAGATTTATAAAATTTTCAATTACAAGATTAATTATCAACTTTCTACAAGCTATCTCTGCTTTACACTTTTTCCAACTTATAGCAAAGAAGAAATAGCATTTTTATGCTCTAAATTG